TGTTAAAGTACAAGGCTGTGGAAGTATTTACAACGAGACCACGGCAATATAATAAGAAAGCAATGGATCTTATAACCTCTTCCAATTGTTATTTAAGCTACGTGGAAACATTCTCTCTGATCCTGTCAACCTAGCCTTCTTAATCTCATCTTCCTATTTAAGCTGAGCCGGAAAAAAAAATCTGCTCGCGTTAACCACGTGTACTGAGTTAGTTCTAGTCCGAGCCAGCTAGTTATCACCTTGACTAAAAAATGTCTCTGGTTAAAACTTTAACTGAACGCTTTATACTGGAACTGAGCGTTAAAATTCTCCCGGCTGTAGAACGTTTTAACCCAATTCAAGATGATTTGTAATCCTGGTTGCTCGTGCATTTTAAATTCCAACTAGTTATGTCAGCATAAAAGTGAACGCAAGCCCATACACAATTTCCTTGGCATTTTCCCACAATTGTGGATGATTTCTAAAACGTGCAATATTGCTGAAGCCCTTATCCTGTTTGCGGGGGGTGAATGACAACATTCGATACTTTGATTCTATGGAAAAACAAATATAATTAACAGTTCGTATGTCAGCTAAAAGGTGATCAATATTATTTTTACACATCCAGTTGAACTCATTCGGCTGATTATAAAAGAGCGTGTAGTTGTCGCGCTTATAAACTATCAATAAAATATAAACCGTGACTAACTTTTAACTAACTCAGCGAACTCTCTCCTCAACTCGCTAGACGCTATCGTGAATATTGTCATTGAGCGAGATTTGAGCTGGATATGGAAAATAAAGAAGACAAGATAAGTCATGGTATGGGGGGAGGGGGAAGGTTGGAGATTACGGCTATATACAGTCAACTACCGATGACGCGAGCCATCAAGGGAAATTGAAAAAGGTTCGAGTTATCGGGAGTTGAAAACAAATGACTGGAAATAAGGAAAAACAAATATTGTACAGTACAGTTCAGTAGGGTAACGTTAATTCTACGGAAAACCAGAAAGACAGATGGTGTATTAACACTAAATTTCATGGGAGGATGCAAACAAACAATGTGATTTACTTTATTCCAAATTTACTGGTCTTAACCAGGAATTCCCGTGTAAGCTATATTACCTAACTTATTTTACAACCATGATCAAGAAGCATATTTGAGTCTAATTAAGTTCTGTTCTTTACAAATGAGACAACTATTAACGGAGATTTATATAAAGTTAATACTTAAAGATTTAAATCATCCAAACGTATTATCTTCAATAAGTTGTAATTTTGTGAACCAGATGACATGACTACATGATGAAATAGTTTTATCATAACGCCTAATTCAAACATCGTAAACTCTAGAATGACTTTTTAAACCTAGATAAAGCAACTATCGACTTCCAATGTCATGTTTTATTTCACAGCCAACTTAGCGACTGGGATAATGTGCATGTTGACTTCGTATTTTTATTCATACTTGTCATACGTTTTACGTCTCAACAGCGGTTTTTTTTTTGTTTTTTTTTTTGTTTTTGCCACGTTATAACAAGGAACTAAACCACTTTTATTTTACGTAAAACGTTTTGTACGATTTCAACACTCGCTATAAAACTCCTCATTTAAGGTGCAAAAACTACCCGGGGGGGTACTTTGGGAATTTCTGGGTGGGGATGTGCCGCTGGGACCCTAGAACCCTAAGCCTATACCAGAGCTAACTCAGCTGAATTTTGCTAAGCTATACTGGAGTAAACTCCCCAAATCCCCCCATCCATCGACACTGTTGAGGCTGATTTGCTTAAATTTAAACTTGCCGATTTGACTTTTTTATATTTTTGAGTGGCAATTCCTGGTTTCCTTACTCTAGATAAAATCTTCAACCAATCGGTCAGTTTTGTGAAAAATGATACCCTATTTTAGACCCAAATGCTCTGATTTATATACCCTATCCTAGAGTAAACAGCTTGAAAACCATACCCTTCACAGCGGCACATACCTATATAGCCCATATATGGCAGTGCCGCCCCCGGGAAAAACTACAACTAACCCTTGCCAAATTCTCTGACTGTAAACAGTTCAGATATCTAGATCTTCTGCCATTTCAACTTAAGGTATTATAGGTCATTATAATGCATGAAAACTATTTAACTATGGAAATACTTTGACCACTGAGCAGAAGTGTGGAATTCTATTAATTTCACTAACAATAGCAAGCAATCACTCTGTTTTCAAACTTTCCCGCTTTACTGGCAAATAACACAGCACTGCACTTTTGTCAATTTTTCTTAAATTCTCCCACTCCCCCAGAGGAACAGGGTACAACTCCCCTGGGGGAATTCTTATGCCACTGTCAAATGGGAAATTGTTTATTATGAAATACACCCTCCCTTCTATTTCCACTGCACCAAGGTTGTTTAAGGGAATACGTTTTTGTTCAGCAACTGACCAAGTGTTGTTTTCCTCATTGTACATTTCAACAGGTGCAGGCCCACCGCTTGGAATACATTTGTCATTTATTGAAACATTTCCCCCTGCCACATAGAGCCTATTGTTTACTACCAAAAGACTGGATCCAAAGTGAGGGTGGCAAGTTGTCGCTTTCACTTTCCATTCATTCTTTACTGGATCAAAACAATTTAGTACTGCTGACGAACAGCGCGCAGGTTCAAACGGTGACCTATTTTCATACAGTACAAACACCTTTGAATGGGTTATTGCTCCATTTTTGCCGGAGCAATATTGCCAGCCTCTTGTACCTACTAGTGCAATGCTTTGCCACTGACGTTTGGCAAAGTTGTACCTTTGAGGAACTTCATTTGAATTGGCACTCATTGCGTACATATGATCATCAATAACACATAAGTTAATGAGTGCACCACCTGGGTGACGCAGCCTTTCCCATTCATTTTTTTCTGTATCATACAGAAAAATGTAATGACCTGAGGATTTATATGCGACATATCCAGCAACAAACAACTTGCTGCCAGCGGAGACTGCGCAGAAACACTGAGTTGCCTCAATTGCTGGTATTGTGGATGCCAAAGGTTTCCATGTTTTGCCTTCAACATCAAAATACTGCATCTGCGCCTGAGGTTGAACTGCAATAAGAGCCTGAAATACAATGTAAAAGGAACCATCAAATCAAATTAAAATGAAAAGGCTACCATCTATTGAGGACCAGCTGCACACTTGTGTGCATGGACACGTTCTGAGGTCATTGCCTGAGAGAAGGAAAGAGTTTGCAACTCACTACACTACAGTTATTAGCAAATTCACTTGAAAGTGAATCACCTCAGTGCAGTCTTCGAAACCTTTTTAAACCAAACGGCGGTAAAGTCATATGAAATTAGTAAATTCGGTCAGGGGTATCCTTCAATCTAGTTTGGAATTTGATATATTTTGTGTATTTAATTCGATCGCATGCCTTTGTTAGGTAAAGCTGTGAAATTTGAAGACAGACGATTTAATTACCGGGCTGGTTGATCGTGGTTTACTTTTCTCCTCGGCAAATGTAGAGTTACATGAAGGCATGTGCTTGAAGATCGATGTTTCGTACATCAGCGAGTAAATCTCTGGATCTCGCTTCATCTCCTCTTTATTCAGTTCTTCAATCACAACCGTGATGTCCACCAGTCCAAGACGGACAGCTCCAATAACTTTGGCTGCAACTGCCATCCTCTCTTCCTTCTTGTGTTTAATCCACTGCATCACTGATTTGAAGACGAACGTCTCCGAAGGTGCACTGAGGTCATCTCGACTGAGGAGGCTGAATAATTGATCTGCGCCAACATTAGAAAGGAATTCTTCGCTTTCACAGACATCCACGTACATCGATGCCATTTTGTGCTCCGCTGCTTCTTGCAGATCTCTCAGACCATGTCTATCGGCCACTGTAGAAAGCACACAGTAGTTGTGAAGGTCAAGTCGGAGCTGGATAAACTCCCTCTTCAAGAAATCACAACACTGCTGAACGACGCTTGTAACTTGAAGATGATCAGCTGCGGCAAGAACTACAAACACGTTTTCCTCGTTGACACGAAGATCTCCAGTGTAGATGGAGTCCATTACAATCTTTAAAGCATCTGGTGAAATGCTTTCATCTTTCAGTTCGATCACTTCCTGATTCGACTCCTTCATTTTAGCAGTAAACATGGCGTGAAAATAATCGCTATTCGCAGCGAGTACAATGCGATGAGCTGGAAAGATGTCTTCACGCACTTTTAAACGAATGTCGATGAATTCACCCTCATCTCGAAACTGCGCACATTTTGATAAGAGATCCACAGCATGGGAAACCATTTTCTCGTGTTTCTCTTTACGTTATTTAATAAATGTGCGCCTCATAACAGACATTGTCGCGTAACCATGGTGTCTGCCTCAAAACGTCACGCGATCATGGTCACGAATCTTGGGAATTTAATCGCTGACAACGACAAATCATTTCCGGAAGCCGCATTTCTTTTTGCCAAAATCTCTAGGCCTGGGAAAGCAACGAACAGCCCGGTCTACCCCGCCCAAGGAGACTGTTATTTGGCTAAAAGAGCTTTCGTTTAGAATGGCAGGAGCAGTCAAAAAAGTCTATAAAACTTCTACTTATATTCTGGCTCTTTTATTTTTTAGCCGTCAAACCTAGTATTTATTTGTCTTAATGAACAAAATAATTGATGCTTTGAACAAGAGAATGTTAATCTATTTCCATTTATTTCTCCTAAAGTCACGCGATCACGTTCACGCTCCTCTTGCAACTGGCCAAGCGGTCAACATATGTTGCTGTAGTTTATTTTGTTTCTTCTGTATTAATTGCTGCTAAACAACCAAGATTCCTTCGTCACTTTGTGGCCATAGTCTACTTCAAATGGATAATTCGGCGTCTATCTTGCGGTGTTTAATCTGTCTGCCCACTATAAACATTACTGCACCAGCTTTCTACGAAGAAGGCCACTGGAAGTACTTCCATGTTTTCCAAAACAAATTAACCAGAAAAACTAGAACAAAGCGGACAAATCTATGAAGCATCCATTGCAGGACACAATTAGTTTGTGGAAAGTGTTGGAATCTGTAACTATGCGCTATTGATATGAAAGTCCGTTCCAGGATTTGGTCACCTGGTAACTAAGGAATAAGGCTGGTCGTAAAATTAGAAACACGGCACATGCTTTGTACCATTAAGATGATTTTAAGAAGGACGTTAAGCAGTTTCCCGGAGACTTGGAGGAATTTTACGCAGTTTGTCCAAGCGATCATTTGTATCGTGAAAAAGCTAGGCGATCAAAACAAACTCCAGGCTTTTACACGCTATTGTAACTTATTTCTACGCTGGAAATGATCTCCAAAAGTATAAGTTTAAACTGAAAACTAAGTTCAACAAGTATGATAACGTCAGATATTAAAAGTTTTAAAGTACTCTCCATTTGTTTGCCATGGCAGGAAGAATAGTGGCCTCTGTCGTGAGAATCATATTTGTATTTCCTTGTAATGTGATTTGTCGGGTCTTAATTCAAAATAAATAGTCTTTACTGTCTTTGTCGCTTTGTGAGCTTTGTTAGACTTATCGTGAAGCCATTTACTTTACAAATGCTAACTCCTTTAGTTTGGGATCGCCCGCTGTGTCCCGCAGGAAGTATTTGCCCGAAAGCGATATAGTAACTCCTTTGGTGACCACGCTTGTTTGGTCAAGATGCTGAATATTGGCCTCTTTCTATTTTTGCGAGTTTCCGCAAAAACGGGACTTGACGTACTCGAACCAAAATACGAACCATAGCTCGACCAAACTCCTCTGATATGCCGCCGAAGCATACAAAAAAAGTACGATTAGGTATAAATATCAAACTACAGTAGAGTTCTTTTTTTTTTCCCCGAGCATTCTTTATTCAAAATGAAAATAAAGCTTTCAGATTTCATTCAGATAGACAAAGAGATAATTCACGGAATAACTGTGGAAGGCTACAAAATCACAATTCAATGCAAACTGAAAACTGAATCACGTTTTAAGAAAATCAAGTTTTAATCCAGGTTCTGAAAATAACATTTACTGTGAGCAGTTCATTTAGTCCCATTTACCTCGTCGAGTTAAAAGCGAAAAACGCAAGAGGAAATAAAGGCCGCGCAAAAACTGCGGGCGACTTCGTCTC